AGAGAGGCGGCGGCGGGATGGGGGAGGAGGGGCGGCAATGGGGGGGCCATCGTCGTCGATCTGGATCGGGGAGAGGGGGAGAGAGAGGTGGCGGTGGGTGTGTTCTAGGGGAGAGGGGGAGAGAGAGGTGGTCTCGGGCTGCTAGGGTTTGGTTTGGGGTGAGAGGCGTGTGAGGCGTTGGATCTGATGGATATGGACGGTTCGGATCAGCTACAATAGGGTGATCCATGGGAAGTGTTCTGATTGGTTCGGAAAATTAGTAATTTAAAATAGTTTTCAAATACTAAAAATAGAGGGATTTTGTGAAGCAGCTATCAAAAATATTTTACAAAAGGACACCACACATATTTTCACTAGAGTTAGCCCACATCTTATGGATGAGCACCAATTTGTATGCATTTCTGATCTTTCTATCTATTTTTCATCATTTTCCAAGTGGCAAAAATGGTTTTTTTTTGTGAAGAACCTATAAAATATTTGTTGAAATTTTGTACTCCATCTATTTTCTAAAATACTAGTCCACATTTACTATATAATTGACCAAATGGTTGGGTGTAAAAAGTTTTGATCCACCTCTGGTGAAAAAGACAAATTTCCGCCGATTCAGCTGGAAGCGGGTCAAATTTGAACTGCAGGTGCCTCTTATTTTGCTCTTTATTTTTTCCAAAAATCATTTCTAGGTACATAAGTATCTATTTAATCAGAGAAATATCAAAAGTTTTCCAAGATTCAACCACTAGCTAGGAACGGTCAAGCCCGCCGTTTTGACCGCATTTTGAAACGGGCATAAAAAATTCAAAAAAATCAACAAATTGGAAAACCGTCGCATTGTGTCATTATATGTGACCACGTTTCCAGGAAAAATAATAAACTTGTAATACGGAAATTATTTTAAAAAAGTGTTCTCAGAAATGAGCTATCATGCGTGAAGATTCATGGCTTTCAAGCCAAATGATCAATATTATGGCCACATTCATGGCATAGTTTGTTCAAATGATCTCATATTGTGCATAAGGGTGCATCTTGGAATTCCAAACAATGTTGCTTTGGGGAGTTTTCACTTTCATTGCACAAAAGAGCCATTTTCCATTTTTCGAGTGCCCCAAATGAGTTTTTTTTGTGAAGAACCTACCAAATAATTATTGCAAAATTGGACCAAATCATTTTTCTAAAATACTAGGCCATATTTAATGCACAATTCACAAAATGGTTGGGTGTAAAAAGTTTTGATCCACCTCTGGTGAAAAAGACAAATTCCCACCGATTCAGGTGGAAACGGGTTAAATTTGAACTGCGGCTGCCTCATAGTTTGCTATTTATTTTTTCCAAAAATCATTTCTAGGTACATAAGTATCTATTTAATCAGAGAAACATCAAAAGTTTTCCAAGATTCAACCACTAGCTAGGAACGGTCAAGCCCGTCGTTTTGACCGCATTTTGAAACGGGCATAAAAAATTAAAAAAAAATCAAAAAATTGGAAAACCTTCGCATTGTGTCATTGTATATGACCAAGTTTCTAGGAAAAATAATAAACTTGTAATACGGAAATTATTTTAAAAAAGTGTTCTCAGAAATGAGCTATCATGCGTGAAGATTCATGGCTTTCAAGCCAAATGATCAATCTTATGGCCACATTCATGGCATAGTTTGTTTAAATGATCTCATATTATGCACAAGGGTACATCTTGGAATTCCAAACAATGTTGCCTAAGGGAGTTTTCACTTTCATTGCGCAAAAGAGCCATTTTCCATTTTTCAAGTGCCCCAAATGAGGTTTTTTTGTGAAGGACCTATCAAATAATTGTTGCAAAATTGGACCAAATCATTTTTCTAAAATACTAGGCCATACTTAATGCACAATTGACCAAATGGTTGGGTGTAAAAAGTTTTGATCCACCTCTGGTGAAAAAGACAAATTCCCGCCGATTCAGTTGGAAACGGGTCAAATTTGAATTGTAGCTACCTTGTAGTTTGCTCTTCATTTTTTACAAAAATCATGTCTAGGTACATCAGTATCTATTTAATCAGAGAAACACCAAAAAAAATTCAAGATTCAACCACTAGCTAGGAACGGTCAAGCCCGCCGTTTTGACCGCATTTTGAAACGGGCATAAAAAATTCAAAAAAAACAAAAAATTGGAAAACCTTCGCATTGTGTCATTATATGTGACCAAGCTTCCAGGAAAAATAATAAACTTGTAATAAGGTAATTATTTTAAAAAAGTGTTCTCAGAAATGGGCTATCATGTGTGAAGATTCATGGCTTTCAAGCCAAATGATCAATCTCGTGGCCACATTCATGGTATAGTTTGTTCAAATGATCTCATATTGTGCACAAGGGTGCATATTGGAATTCCAAACAATGTTGCCCAAGGGAGTTTTCATTTTCTTTTCACGGAAAATACATTTTCCATTTTCCGAGTGCCCGAAATGAGTTTTTTTTGTGAATGACCTACCATATATTTGTTGCAAAATTGGACCTGATCAATTTTATAAAATACTAGGCCATATATAATGCACAATTGACAAAATGGTTGGGTGTCAAAAGTTTTGATCCACCTCTGGTGAAAAAGACAAATTCTTGTCGATTCAGTTGGAAGCGGGTCAAATTTGAACTGCAGCTGCCTCATAGTTTGCTATTTATTTTTCTCAAAAATCATTTCTAGTTACATAAGTACCTAATTAATCATAAATACATGGTTTTGTGGCGATACGTCGAGGTTTGGACGGTGGCCAAGGGCCCTAACTCTAGAGTGCGTAAACTCGCATGCCCGCCGCATGGTCACCGCGTGACCGTGGCGTTGCCATGTGTTCTAGGCTGCCTAGGAATGTCTAGTGGGTTGGGCACTCCCCAGGTAGGTGCTAGGAATAAAATCACAATATAAGATTCTCACGAGGAGACCGATCGATGCTCAAACATGAATAAGCAGCCAAGTGTTTGATTAGCGGTACGGGAAATGCACATGGCTAATGGGTGTGAGTTTTGGCTGAGGATGATCAATTACTAAGAAGACCGTCTTCACAAGTTTTCAGCTCAAAAGGAGGAGCCTAGGTGGTACTTGCTTTGCAAAGTACCACACTGGACATAAATACGAATGTTGAAGCCGGACTCAAAATAATGAATGGATTGAGCTGGCATTTGGTGGAGGATGGTTATTTGGATAGAGAAAAGCACTGTAGAAAATGGATACCATTTGGACATGCCAAAGTGGTACTTCCTTCACAAAGTGTTTTTTTGAACAGAATAGGAAAATGAATATTTTTGAATTATTTTTGAACTACGCAAGGACGGTTTTTTACATATTTGACGCAGATATGACCCAAAGAATTTATGAGATTTTTTTGGGAATTTTGGGAATGACAGAAATATAGGTTGCTTCACAACCTAGGGCAAAAACTGCCACATGGACATGACACATAGGCAAAACTGATGAGGTGGCGCCTAGTCATAGCAACCCACCACAATTTACAAGGTTATGACCATCTATATTTGTCATGATCAGCTAGAAATAAGGCAGCGGACCTGTGCTATCTGCTTTATAACCATTTCGTGTAAGGAAATTACGACCTTTCTGACCAAAATGGGCGTTATTGTTTAGGGTTTGGAGCCCCACGAACAGCTTTTGACCAATTGGTCTGAAATGGTCATAGATATATGACCAATTCTTCCAGGGTCACTGACAGAAGGTCACTAGTTGACATATTTCTTGTAGTGTGTCAGATTCCGGGCTCCACAGACCCAATAAGGTTTGAACTCTAGGGCGTGTACGAAGATCTCAACCCCTCAATTCTTTGCTTGTCACTCTACAGCCTAGCTATGTCGAGCAGACGCAAGCGGGGAGGAAGAAGATGAACGTGGCAGTTTACCCAGGTTCTAGCCCCCTTGCGGTGTAAAACCCTACTCCTTCTTTGTGGTGAATTGGCCTCACGGGGAGGCTGAGGATGAACTAGTACAATGGTCGAGCAGCCTCAGGAGGGCTTTGGTGATGAAGGTGGAATCGATACCCCTCTACAGTGGTGGCTAACCTATATTTATAGTGGCCTCGGTCCTCTTCCCCCAAAACTTAGGCAGGAAGGGATCCACATATATAGTGGCCAATTCGAAAGGGGACAAATAGTACATCTTATCCTCACGAAAGGTG